CCACGGAGTCATACCGACGATCACGCCGTGACCGCGAGGCATACCGACGATCACCCCCTGACCGCGGAGTCTTACCGACAATCACGCCGTGACCGCGGAGTCATACCGACGATCGCGCCGTGACCGCGAGTCATACCGACGATCACCCCGTGACCGCGGAGTCATACCTACGATCACCCCATGACCGCGGAGTCATACCTACGATCACCCCGTGACCGCGGAGTCATACCGACGATCACGACGTGACCGTGAGTCATACCGACGATCACCCCGTGACCGCCGTCAAATCAAATCAAATCAAATCAAAACATCTTTATTTTCCTTACATGTACATGGGTACAAAAATAGTGTCAAGTATAAAGTACTAAACTAGCTTAAAGATATAAATACATTTTAAGTATGAATAGGTATTTATTCAATGAGTTCCTCCATTGTATAAGGCGCCTTTTCTATTAAATGTTTTTTTAATTTAGATTTAAATAATTTATAATTTGATTCCTCCTTTATAGAGGCAGGCAATTTCCTTAGAATTAGTGATCCAGCAAAAGTTGGTTTTTTTTTGGAGAATTCCAGCTTATAGGTTGAAGTTACAATATTCTTTTTATGTCTTGTATTGTAACTATGTGGCACAACTGGCTCATATTTTAGGCTGTCTCTTTTAGCTATACATGCTATTTCAAAAGTATACGCTGCAAAAACTGTTAAAATATTTAGATTTTTAAAGTGAGATTTAACTGATTCATCTTTTTTAAGGTGTAACATAGTTCTAATGGCTTTTTCTTGCATGATTAGAATTTTATTTAAATTTTTAATCGTAGTTGCCCCATATAGTCCAATGCCATAGTTTATGTGAGAATGAATATGGGCGAAATATATTTTTTTAAGTGCATCTAAATTGCACAAATAAGACATTCTTTTCAATGCGTACACTCCAGAATTAAGCTTTTTTAACAATTTTTCAACGTGTTTATTCCAACTTAGATGTTCATCTACATAGAGACCTAAAAGTTTGGCTTCAGAAAGTTGTTCTATTGATTCTGAATCAATGATCAAATTGGGTTCAAGTTTCTGTTTACTTTGTTTAGTCGAAAAGGACATAAAGTTTGTTTTTGTTGTATTAAGATTCAAATTATTATTTTTTAGAAATTTTGACGATAGCACTGTGACCGCGAGTCACAAGTTTCTACAGGTACCTGTAAATTGTTACCCATTTTTTGGTTTTTATAGATCAGTGCCACAAACGGTAAAGATTGATTTTGTATGCCTTTTTTGGTAACTGCAATACTCAAGACTTTCTTTTTATGCACAGAAAAAATCCCGTCCCGTCCCGTCCCGAAAATCGGGAAGGAAATAAAAATCTCGTCCCGTCCCGTCCCGAACTAAAAATTCAATCCCGTCCATCCCTAATATATGGATATGGGTATATATACAATATGGGTAATGGGTACAATATTCAAAATACTTACAATTTCATTGGAAAAATACAAGATATAGACATTCCAGAGAACTCTTTACTGGTCTCATTTGATGTTTGTAACATGTACACAAATATCCCAACAAAAGAAACATTAACCATTCTGAGAAAAGGACTAATTGAAAAAAATATATTAAACAAAAAAGAAATTGAAGATATTATTCAGCTTACACAATTGACACTGAAACAAAACTATTTCAGCTACAATTCCTCTTTCTATTTACAAGAAGATGGTGTTCCAATGGGTTCCCCTCTATCTGGAATAATGGCAGATATATTTATGAAAGAAATGGAAACTACTAAAATAATGAATGATTGTAACCCATATAAAGAGAAAATCCAATACTGGTACAGATATGTAGACGGTATAATTTGTTTATTCAAAGGAAATGAAAATGAAGCTAATAATCTACTAAAATATATGGGGTAGCGGATTTTTATCCCCCTGGAATTTTACCCCCTGGGCAAACGTGACGTCACAAACCAGGGGGTAAAATTCCGGCCGCGAACTTTTGAGTTTCGCGACATCAGCTCGATGGATTAAACGCGGAATTAAACATATATTTTCACGGTTGTGAGTTTAATCAGAACACATCAAATTATAAAAACCTAGAATGTACGGCCCGGATTTTTACCCCCCGGAATTTTACCCCCGGATTTTTACCCCCCGGATTTTTACCCCCGGAATTTTACCCCCCGGAATTTTACCCCCTGACCAGATATAAATTAGTGAGAATGATTAATTATCGTCATTCAGTTTTAATTTAATGGTAAACATTTTATTATTAAGTAGCCTATCTTAATTTATATGTAACATTAACTAATCGAACAGGGTTTTAATATTAATCTTGAGATTCGAGTGTCAGGATTCGATCTTTGAAGCCAACTGTTGGTTAATATGATCAAAATAAAACAGCGAATTCTGTTTACTTAGTTGAGATTACAAAATAAATAAATAAAGATAGGCTACTAAATAATGAAATGTTTACAATTAATTAAAAACAGAAATAAGAAAATCAATCATTCAATTTCTAAAATCAGCCAGGGGGTAAAATTCCGGGGGGTAAAATTCCGGGGGTAAAAATCCGGCACGTACATCTTTAGTTGCCTAAACGCTAGTTATATGGACAGGGGGTAAAATTCCGGTTTTTATCGCTAATCTAATTAATCACGCTCTGACTATTTTCATTAGACTTCCAAATCCGCGGGGGTAAAATTCCGGCCGCGAACAAACTTTTGGCCACTCAGGTTACTACGTCATAGTGACGTCAGCTTTGCCCAGGGGGTAAAATTCCAGGGGGATAAAATTCCGGCGACCCAAATATATTAATAGCCTATCTCCAAAAATACAATTTACAGGAGAGATTAAAAAAGAACAAATAAATTTTCTAGATATTACAATCTCAAAAAATAGCAACAGACATACATTTAACATATTTAGAAACCCTACGACCACAGAAATCATTATTCCATACTATTCCAATCATCCTTGGAGTCATAAAATCGCTACTTTCCATTCACTTATCCACAGACTTATTAATATTCCCTTGAATAAAGAAAACTTCAAAAGAGAGAAAAATACCATTAAATACTTAGCAGAGAAAAATGGCTACAGGGAAAAAATAATAGACAATACGATAAAAAAGAAATTTAAAAACAAAATACAAAAGCAAAGAAAATCTACGGAAAATAAAGAGAAAAAGAAATATATATGTATACCTTATAACAAATATATGACTAAAGCAGTAAGAAATACATTTAAAAACTTGGATATAAGAGTAAGTTACAGAACTAAGAACAATATATTCCAACTAATCAATAAAAAAATCAAACACACAGAAAATAATGAAGACGAAAAGTACAACAAATCAGGAATCTATAAGATAAACTGTAGTGACTGTAGCAATTATTATATAGGTCAAACATCTCGAAGTTTTAAAACAAGATTCAAAGAACATCTACAAGCATTGAAATCAAAAAATCTAACATCAATGAAGTCGAACTTCGCCGACCATATAATGAACTCAGACCACAGTTATAAAAACATGAAAGAAAATCTAACAATTTAAGAATATGAAAAAGAACGTGAGTCAACAGTCGAGCCGCCCTAGTAATCGATCTGAAACCAAGGTAGGACAGTGTAAATCTTGATGATGAGGAAGAACCGCAAAGCAAGGTTGAAAGGTGGTTGAATGAAAAAGAACCGACAGTTCTTAAGTCCTCATCAGCCATCATGACCTCAGCCGTGCAAAAGCTTGCGGATACCTTCCAAAAAGCCATACAGCCTGTTTCATTTCGTCAAAAACTTCCAAGCTTCAATGGCAAGCCTGACGAATGGCCGATATTTTTTTCGGCGTATGAAAAAACTGCCTATCTTTTTAGTGAGGATGACAACCTCATAAGAGTAAGGAATTGTCTAGAGGGAGAAGCATTTAGAATGGTTAAGCCTCTTTTTGTCTCAAGTCAAAATCTTAAGTCAATTATCAAGACCTTACAGATGTGTTTTGGTGGACCAGAACTCATTTTGGAGTCAATGTTAAAAAAGACTCGTAGGCTGGCTACCTTCTGTCAAGGAAGACGACACTAAAAGTCTTGTTGAGTTTTCGACAAATATTTTGAATTTTACTGCTACAGCAGAGTCTTTACACCTAGAAAATTATGTATTAAATCCATACTTACTAAATGAATGTCTCAACAAACTTCCCTATAGTTTAAAATACAGGTGGGCTGAGCATGCAAGTAATAATGCTCTAACTAGTCCTGACTTGAAGGAGTTTTCCACTTGGTTGGAAAAACAATGCTCAATCCTGAGTATTTACTTTCGTCCTACAGAAGAGAAACTCTGGCAGAAGAGAAACTCTGGCAGAAGAAAACTGACATAAAGCCGGTTTATACCAGTTCTACTGAAGACAAACAGTTTAACTGTATGGTTTGTCTCGACAGCCACAAAAGTGAACGATGTGGAGTTTTCAGGAAGGCAGATGTATCACAGAGATGGAAAATGATTGTCGAAAAGAAACTATGTTTCTTCTGCTTTCGACGTCACCAACTTCAAAAATGTAAAGTAAAAAAGGTTTGTGGGATAAATGGGTGCAGGTTGTTTCACCATCGTCACAACAAATACAAAGCCAAGATCACTGACTATGAAGAAAAAGGTTACATCAGAAAACTACGTGATGACGAAGCTAATGTTATAAATGACCGGACTTATTATCTGCCTCATTTTGGGGTAATAAATCCAAACAAACCTGACAAACTGAGGTTAGTATTTAACGCAGCTGCTAAAGCGAATGGTGTATCATTCAATGATGGTTTACACCAGAACAACACCAACGCCAGAAAATAAGAAAATAAGAAAGAAAAAGATGAAGCCTCTCCCAATTGTGATGACTGCGGAGGAGAAGAACAGCAATAACCAGAAAGTAAGTAAGCAGGAAGCAGCTTGTAATAAAATAAATAATGTTGTTACCTACCAATGTTGAACACCACAATACAGGAAACATTTCAATACCATGCAATAACAAACCTTTATTGGTGTCTCTGCTGGTATTGTCTCTACATTTGCTTCTTCATCATCTTCTTTCTCCAACTTGATCTGCAACACATCCTAGTTTAATCCTACTAAAATTATAAATGAGAATTTTTTATGTATGTATGTATGGATGTTTGTGACAAGTAAACATGAAAAATACTGGTTGGATTGGGCTGAAATTTGGTGTGATTAACATATAGACACATTCTTATCTCAAAAGTCCTTTCGGGCTCCACCCCAGTGGCTCTGGAGTTAACCTTATGAGTAATCATATTAAAAAAAAAAAGAATTTTGTCAGCTGTTTCAAATACACAAGTTGGTTCTATGATATTAAATAGCATTAACAAGTTGTAAGGTTTACCGGGTGCAGTAATTTTAATGTAAATTTAGAATATAATTTTAGAATACTTTTTTCTAACTTATGCCAATGGTTATAGCATTGACTATATAACACTATAATTTGAAGACTCCATGCATTTGGTTGTGAACAAGCAATCAGCACACTCTGGCGGGAAGGGGTGATGATTGTGCTTACGTCACTGACCAGTAGGTGGTGCCACGGTGTGGCGGGCAATGAAAACATAGTGCTGTCTGCTGTTATGACGCAATGTCAGACAGCCGACAGCTGCTCCCCGCGCCCACGTGACTTGCTGGAACTGTACACCGCTCTCCGCTCGCCTCGGATTTGTGTTGTTTTTAGAAGAGAAGCGAAGTACGACCGACTGATCATTGTTTAACTGCTTCACTAAAGAATCCCAGATATTAAGTAGGGACTAGTATCCAAACCAAATATTTATCGTGATATTTTAGTGGTTAGTGAATTTGATTGATGAAAAAGATGTTGTGTAGATATGTATCAGTTTGCTATCTAATAATATTTAAATTAAAACACCGATGAGAATAACTAAAATACAAATTTGCATAATCAAACCTGCCATATGCTTAAATAATCAGATGATTATTGTTGTTTTTATCTGTTATTGTTTACATTTATATTTTGTGTTGAATTAGTTCTACAATAAAGTTTACCAATTAATTTACGTGTATTTTGTATATTTTATGAAGATATATCAATGGCGACGTTGATAAAAGTGCAAATGAAACTAGAAAATGAAAACAACAAAGAGGAATCATAAAGTGTCAAATTACAAGGACTTTACATGTGCTGAAAACCAAAGGTTCGTCTATATACGATGCTTTGGGCAGACAAACTCTACTGGATGAAACGTGGAAAAGATTCACTTTGTTACATGAAGAGATTATAACAACTACAGACGATGAAGATGAAATTGAAAGAGAAGAAGATTACCGTACAGATGTAGAGGAAACAAACCTCGAGGCAAGAGCTTTATTACAACCATTCTTTGTCACTATTAAGCAAACAGAAGTAGAGAGGAATGACTCTAGTGAACGAAATAATCCGCATAAGTTGAACATACCGAATGTGAGTTTCACACCCTACACGGAAAATGAAACCTTTCGGAATTTCCTAATGCAGTTTACAAATTTCTTGGACCTAAAACAAATCACAGAGTCCAAAACCAAAACACAACTGTTTCTTAGTACTCTTACACCCGAAATGCATCAGGCATTATGTAACGCGATTGCTCCCGAGGCACCAGGTGACAGATCGTTTGAAGAACTTTCAGATATACTGCAAAACTGTTTGGAACCTACTCCAAGTGTACTTGCTAACCAAAATAGGTTCATCAGTAAAGTTCAATATACTGAAGAGGGAATTCCTACGTACGCTCGAGATCTAAAACGTTTGGCAATTAACTGTGATTTTAAGTGTTACAACTGTGAACGTTCAGTTTGTGATATGTTCTTGAAGATGCAATTCATGTGCGGATTAAGAGATAATGAAGTGAGAGTTAGGCTTCTTCAAGAAAAAGGAAATACACTATCATTTAAAGAAGTGGTAGAAATGGCCATTTCTATTGAACAGTCCAAACTGGAAAGTTATGCAATAAAACCTAAGTACTCTCATTACGTTACAGAACAAACTAAGGATGTTAACTATGTGAGTAAACAATCTGGGTTAACAAGAAAGAGTAGAAATGAAATCAAACCGCATATTACCTTTCAAGATTTAAGAGGTAAATGTTACAGATGCGGCAGTACTCAACATAAAGCTGATACTTGCAAATTTAAAAATGAATTTTGTAGGAAGTGTAACAAGATTGGACATATTGCGAATGTTTGTCTCACACCCAACAGAGTTAGCAATGCAAGCGAGAAAGATTACAAGTTAAAATAAAATAAAATTGATGTTGAAGATAATAATGACAACGTTCATGAGGTTTACATGATGGGGACACCAAATGTGAATGACAAGTTTATAATTAACGTTTCTATTGAAGGCAAGTCATTGAATATGAAACTTGATACTGGAGCGGATTTTAGCTCATTATCATACAGTGATTTTCTTAAACTTAAACTTAATAAACGTCTATTCAAGACGGAAGTGGAAATGAGAACATACACTGGAGAAATTATAAGGCCTGTGGGAGTCTGTTTTGTTGAATGCAAGTACAGAAATTTCAGTTTTCATGGGAAGCTCTATGTTTTAAAACAAAATGTAGACCCAATTTTTGGACGTGAGTGGCTCCGAGAAGTCAAGATGGATTGGGCTGACATAAAACTTACGGATACTAACACATCAGAGGAACTTGATAAACTCCTAACAAACTTTCAAGGCAGAAATCGGTGAAATAAATTCAGAACAAGGACATATACAGCTAAAGGAAGGGGCAAAACCAATTTTCGTCAAACCACAACAAGTACCTTATGCTCTAAGGAAAGCAGTTGAAGATGAGCTACATAGATTAGAGAGAAGAGGTATAATCTCTAAAGTTGAAAACTCACAATGGGGAACACCAATTGTTCCCGTAAAATAGCCTAATGGATGTGTAAGACTCTGCACTGACTACAAGGTAACAGCCAACAAACTAATATTAGATGAGAAGTACCCTATACCTCGCATACACACATGAGCAAAGGGAAATTTGTGGCTTGTGTTAAGGGAAGAATGGCCTTCATAAATCACCTGAAAATGTCGAAGCTATAAGTAAAGCAAAGAGACCAGAAGATATTACTCAACTAAGAAGTTTCCTAAGACTCACAAATTACTACACACGATTTGTGCCTAACATGTCAACCTATCTGGAACCATTAAACAATCTACTAAGACATGGAAAGAAGTTTACATGGAATAAAGAGTGCGAAGATGCCTTTGTGAAGATCAAAGCTGAAATCACCAGTGAACGAATATTAGCTCATTATGATCCGAGTGAAGCATTGGTACTTGCTACAGATGCGAGTCCAACTGGCTTAGGAGCTTGTTTATCTCACAGATACCAAGATGGATCAGAGAAACCAATAGCATTCGCCTCAAGAACTATCACAAAAGCAGAAAGAAAGTACAGCCAAATCGACAAAGAAGCTGTAGGAATTTACTGGGGTTTGAAGAAATTTTTCGCCTATTGTTATGGAAGACATTTTGTTCTAATAACAGATCACAAACTCCTCGTTTCCATTTTTGATCCTGCAAAAACCTTACCTTCAATGACAGCTTCGAGAATGTTTAATTATGCTCACTTTTTATTAGGATTTGATTACACGATTGAATACCGCAATACAACAGAACACGCTAATGCAGATTTCTTATCTCGATTTCCAGTCACTGAAGTTCCAGAAAATGTAATTGATGATCACAAGCAGTACCTGATAAACCAAGTGGAAGCAATTAAAAAGACAAGAAAAAAGATTAAAGAGGAAACAAGGAAAGATGAAAAACTCACTGTTATTACACTTATAGGATGTTTAATCTGTATGAATTAAATTCACCACTATATGAACTAATATTTGATAATGATTTATTTACAAACGAATAAAGAAGTGGACTAAATCATGACATAGTCAAAACTAACTATTTTCAACCAAACTAGCAACAGCTGTTCAAAATAAATATTAAACAAAGTATAGACCAAAGGCACAGCTAACGCCACATCAGCCCCCTGCAGAGACTGGAAGTCCAGGAAGCTTGAGCTTTACATTTCGACCAGACCGAGTTGTATAGTTTCTGAACAATGCCGGGTTTGGAGGCTTGAGGGATATGTTTGAAGGTTGAGGAGGCTCTTTGATTGTTGGGTGATTACATTTGTCAGGTAACACATATGCAGGCTTCACCCTGTTTAAGCTCACTCGCACTTGTTTGCCATTCTGTGATATTACTAAGGATTTTTCATCACGAGAAATTACAGGATATGGTCCGTTGTAGGGAGGCTGTAAAGCACGTTTCACAGAGTCATCTCTTAGAAAAACATCGGTGCACTTTCTAAGATCCTGAAATACAAAAGTTTTGGGTTTGACGTGGCGTGAAGCTTGGACAGGTCTGATTGAAGACATGTGTTGACGGAGTCGTACAACATAATCAGAAGGATCTTCATGTCTGGGTGCGTCAACAGGGAGATCAAACAATTCTCCTGGAAGTCTCAACTGTTGACCGAAAACAATTTCTGCCGTTGATGCTTGAAGATCCTCGCGGTACGCACTTCTTATACCTAGGAGGACAATTGGAAGAGCTTCCAGCCAGGATGAATCATGATGACACATCAGTGAAGCTTTGAGGTGACGATGGAATCTCTCCACCAATCCATTTGCACAGGGATGGTAACTGCAAGTCCTGATTCTTTCAGAGCCGAAAGTTTTTCCAAGGGACTTGAAGAGGGATGATTCGAATTGGCGGCCTTGATCAGTAGTTATTCTTGAAGGAGCGCCATAACGAGAAAACCAGCACGAGACTAGACCTTCGGCGACTTCTTCTGCAGTAATCCCCTTTAAAGGATAACCCTCAGGCCACCTACTGTAACGGTCTATGACTGTAAGACAGTATTTGTATGGTCCTGCTGGTGGTAAAGGCCCAATTATGTCAACATGGATGTGCTCGAAGCGTGACGATGGTAAAGAAAATGTTCCTAGAGGAGCATGAACATGTCGTGTTACCTTGCAACGTTGGCATCGCTCACAAGTACGAGCCCAGTTACGACAATCTTTTTGAA